AGTGAACTACTCAGCCTAATTTCTATAAAATGAAAATCCTGATCTCGTCCCTTGTTGGAGTTCAGCTATGAAAAAAAAAATGCTTTCCAGGCACCTTTTTACCACTATCAGTGGGTTGCTATGACCTGTAAGACTCCACTATCTCACTCCCGAGTCAAAGCATCGTCCATCAGAGGAGCACAGGCACCGTCTACCTTCCACTGAATTCAAAATGTGGCCATGAAAACTCTGATTAAAACACAGCACACAGAGAATATTTCTCTGGCAGATACTCACGTTTACTATATTGATGAGTCGTACCTATTAATATATTGAGATACTAAGTCGCTCCGATGGGTGTCCGCGTTGAATAAGACTTACAGTAGGGAGTGATTTGAGTTCTCAAATGGAGTATAAAGGTGGTAAAAAACATATCATTTTAAAGACTCCAGAATTATTATTTTTTTAGTGTAAATGATGTAAAATCAAAATCATAAATGGCTGACCCTGGGACTGAGCTCCTCTCTTTGTAACTGGGTTCTGGACTTCCTGACCAACAGACCGCAGTCTGTGAGGATCCACAACGTCTCCTCATCTTCCATAGTCCTCAACACTGGCTAGCCTCAGGGCTGTGTGCCAAGCCCCCTCCTGTTCACGCTGCTTACATATGACTGCTCACCCAACCACCCAGGCTGTCATATTGTAAAGTTTGCAGACAATGATGAGACCGGCTACAGGAAGTAGGTGGAACACTTAAAGGATTGGTGCAGGAAAAACAACACTTCCAGCCTGATAAGGAAGTCTCACCAGAGGCTCTACTTCCTGAGGAAGTGGAAGCGTGCGGGAATGGAGAGCTCAGTCCTAATCTCATTTCACAGATGTGCGGTGGAGAGTGTTCTGTGCTCTGGCATCAATATGTGGCACGGAAACGGCACTGTGGCAGAGAGGAAAGCTCTACAGAGGGTGATGAAGGCTGCACAGAGAGTTGTCGGAGGCAGCCTCCCAACCGTCACAGACATATACACCTCCAGATGCAGGAAGAGGGCCACCTGTATCATGAAGGACCCCACTCACCCAGCACACACACTCTTTGTCGCTCCCCTCAGGCAGGAGGCTGAGGAGCATTAAATGCAAAACCACCAGACTGAGAAACAGCTTCATTCCAGAAGGTGTGAGACTTCTCAATGCATAAATGGACAAGAACTGCTATTGTAGCACCTTAATCACTACTGACACTGTCACTTTATCATGCTGGTCATCATGCCCTTTGCTGCTAAATTATTTATTTATACCTACAGGGAGTGCAGAATTATTAGGCAAGTTGTATTTTTGAGGAATAATTTTATTATTGAACAACAACCATGTTCTCAATGAACCCAAAAAACTCATTAATATCAAAGCTGAATGTTTTTGGAAGTAGTTTTTAGTTTTAGCTATTTTAGGGGGATATCTGTGTGTGCAGGTGACTATTACTGTGCATAATTATTAGGCAACTTAACAAAAAACAAATATATACCCATTTCAATTATTTATTTTTACCAGTGAAACCAATATAACATCTCCACATTCACAAATATACATTTCTGACATTCAAAAACAAAACAAAAACAAATCAGCGACCAATATAGCCACCTTTCTTTGCAAGGACACTCAAAAGCCTGCCATCCATGGATTCTGTCAGTGTTTTGATCTGTTCACCATCAACATTGCGTGCAGCAGCAACCACAGCCTCCCAGACACTGTTCAGAGAGGTGTACTGTTTTCCCTCCTTGTAAATCTCACATTTGATGATGGACCACAGGTTCTCAATGGGGTTCAGATCAGGTGAACAAGGAGGCCATGTCATTAGTTTTTCTTCTTTTATACCCTTTCTTGCCAGCCACGCTGTGGAGTACTTGGACGCGTGTGATGGAGCATTGTCCTGCATGAAAATCATGTTTTTCTTGAAGGATGCAGACTTCTTCCTGTACCACTGCTTGAAGAAGGTGTCTTCCAGAAACTGGCAGTAGGACTGGGAGTTGAGCTTGACTCCATCCTCAACCCGAAAAGGCCCCACAAGCTCATCTTTGATGATACCAGCCCAAACCAGTACTCCACCTCCACCTTGCTGGCGTCTGAGTCGGACTGGAGCTCTCTGCCCTTTACCAATCCAGCCACGGGCCCATCCATCTGGCCCATCAAGACTCACTCTCATTTCATCAGTCCATAAAACCTTAGAAAAACCAGTCTTGAGATATTTCTTGGCCCAGTCTTGACGTTTCAGCTGTGTGTCTTGTTCAGTGGTGGTCGTCTTTCAGCCTTTCTTACCTTGGCCATGTCTCTGAGTATTGCACACCTTGTGCTTTTGGGCACTCCAGTGATGTTGCAGCTCTGAAATATGGCCAAACTGGTGGCAAGTGGCATCTTGGCAGCTGCACGCTTGACTTTTCTCAGTTCATGGGCAGTTATTTTGCGCCTTGGTTTTTCCACACGCTTCTTGCGACCCTGTTGACTATTTTGAATGAAACGCTTGATTGTTCGATGATCACGCTTCAGAAGCTTTGCAATTTTGAGACTGCTGCATCCCTCTGCAAGATATCTCACTATTTTTGACTTTTCTGAGCCTGTCAAGTCCTTCTTTTGACCCATTTTGCCAAAGGAAAGGACGTTGCCTAATAATTATGCACACCTGATATAGGGTGTTGATGTCATTAGACCACACCCCTTCTCATTACAGAGATGCACATCACCTAATATGCTTAATTGGTAGTAGGCTTTTGAGCCTATACAGCTTGGAGTAAGACAACATGCATGAAGAGGATGATGTGGACAAAATACTCATTTGCCTAATAATTCTGCACTCCCTGTATATTACACTACACTCGATACCCATACTCCATACTGGTACTCAGGTTGCTGCACTCTACTTATAGTATTATTTCTTGTTTTTTATGACTTGTCATTTCTGTTTGTTAAAAACAAAAACAAAAAACAAAACAAAAAAAAAACAACTTTTATTTATACTTTAAAAAAAAAAATTCTGTTTCTTCATTATTTTGTTTCTTTTCACTCTGGGACCATGTGTACATAATTTCATTCCACCTCATGTTAACATGTGATGCGAAGGACAATAAAGCTCCTTCAAACACATGGATTAACTGATGATTCCTGAATGAATAATGATTATGGTTTTGACACATAATGTTTTAAACTGAAGTCCAAAGGTCACAGAGGTTATATTTATGCAACACACAGCATCATGCACAGTGAGACATAAGGGGAAAAATCAGCTTTGATATCATAACAGACAGGTAGCAGGGTTTTTTTTGTCAAGTTGCTACAACTGTGCATGATTTATGAGGAAGTAGTTGCTGTGAAGTTCTCCAAGGTCTGGCCTTGCTTGGCCTGAAAGTTCCAACAAATACCTCACATGTGTGGGAGGCCGGTCACAAGCTGATGAAAACCCTCCCAATTTGCCTCAGACATGCTCTCCTTTCCTCTTTCCCACGCTTATATTCCTACCACACTGAGAAATATCTCATTTTCAATATAAACAAAAGCACAGGGGGACAAGTGGATAAACCTGAATGTATTAAGCACAGTTGTCAAGGTCATGTTCATCTTCTTAAAGATTGCACAAGAAAGAAATTCAACCTTCAGGTTAATTCCACATTCTGGGTCATCATCTACAGCGTTAGCTTTACTGTTACTGTAGCAGAGAGAAAATGCTGTTTCAGAATGGTCTCAAAGTGCTTTGATGCGCTCTACTCTGCAGACACAGCTAAACACATTTATGCTTTTCTGCCCTCCAACGATGCTGCTAAAAAATTTAAATATAAATATAAAGGGAACATTTACATTGCACATCAGAACCAAAATCATAACCCATATGAATTTTTTAAAATATATTTATTTTTTAACAGTGTATGTTCCCCTAAGGTTTCCAACCTGTCATTTGGTGTAAAGTTTTAATATCTGGCGTTTGCACATTTTCCAGGAAAACACGGCGTCTTTTCACAAGTCCCTACACAGTTTAAACGATCTATGTCAACGTCTGTGGGTACACATAACATCACCAGTCAAAAGCCTGCCTGCTTTACCTCAGATACAGAATGCGTACTTCCTGACATACTCATTAGGCGCAAATGCTGTTAATATAGAGACAGAACAAAATAACACTGCGGTGTTCTTTCATAATCAGCAGGGCAATAGAGCAAAGGGAGCAACAGCTTTGTTACAAGATCGGTACACTGTGGTTACAATGGCGTCAGTTTCCTGTTCTGAGGCGACAGGCATACATCCAGTGAGAGCTTCTGCAGCGCATCGGTTTCAAATCTTTACAGTGTGCCTTCAGAGATGCTCTTCTGCATACCTTATGCAAGTTACTGTTTGCATCCACTTCTGACCTTTATGTCCCAACAAGGAGTTTTCTCCCAGAGATCTGCCACTTTTTTTTTTCCCCCCCCCTATTTTTGGACCCTTGACCTATAGATGGCTGTGAAGAAACCAACAATAGTTGTGTCTTTCCATTAATCTGGGTCCTCATCGGTTACCTGGCAACTTGTTAATTCATTATTTCAGTGTAAATAAAATGTTGCTCTTCTATATGAGATTAATATATAGATATATTTTTTATGCCTGCAGTTGTAACCATTCATAAGTTCTGTTCAATTTTATTTATATCCACCAAATCACAAGAGTTACCTCAAGGCTTATATTGTAAAGACCCTACAATAACACTGGGGAAATATCTCAAATGGCCCCCTATGAGCAAGTGCTTTGGCAAAAGCAGGAAGGAAAACCTCCCTCTCAACAGGAGGAAACCTTTGGCAGACCCAGGTTCAGGAAGGGAGACTGGACAAAGACACACCGTGGAGAAGATAGGTTAATAACTACTAATCAGTAAATGCAGTGTTTTTAAAAAGTGAGTGAAGAAGAAACCTTGCAATCTGGGAGACATGCAGATAAGCAGGCTAGACCTAGTGCAGCATGACTGGGAGGATTCACAGTCATCTGATCCAGGACTCACTATAAACTCCATAAAAAAAATAAATTTAAAAAAAGGCAAGTTTCAAGCTTAATATTAAAATAGAGAATGTGTCTCTCTCCCTTCCCCTTAAAGTTTGTGCCCAATCATACACAGATCTCCTTTAGTGTAAAGGCAAGCACACAGCAAAACACTTCATCTCAGACCCCATAAAAATACTTTTGTTTAAGAGGAAGTTTACATCCCTTTTATTCATCAAACAAACAAAATCTATTATTAAATGGTCAAAAATCAAACATCAAGTTTCTTTTTGTTTTTTTAATCAAAAATCAGCCAACAAAACAAAAACCTACAAATATATATAAAACTGCTATTATCAGATTAAAAACAAGCTACAAATAAATGAGATTTCGTCACACTCTTCATACTGAATACAAACAGTTTTAAACATAACTTTTTGCTACTTGCACAGAAAATCTGTGCGCTTTACTCAAAATGAACCACAGGGCAAAAAACAACACACAAAACAAAGAGTTTTAACAGGCTAAATCTAGCTTCTTAAATGTGATCAGAACATATGCTGTACAGGAGGGCAAGTGAAAACACAGAAATACTGAGAAAAAGGCAGTGAACGTGTCAATTTGCACCTCAGGCTTTCCAAATGCTAACGATAGCTAGTGCCCAACCATAAGATAATGAATTCTTCTTTTTTTTTTTTAAAGGGGGAAAAAAAAGAAAGGATTAAACATGCATGTTAAACTATCCATTTAAACATTACTTTGAAAGAATAAAACTCACTTAATATGGCATGTTTTGGTTTTTTTTGTTTTTTTTTTAATTCCCCCCCCCTCCCAAAAAACAGTTTGAGAAAAATCAAATGTCAAAACGCACAACAGCAAATGTTTTTTTGTAGAAAAAACAAAAACCAGTCACTTATCTCCTCACTGATGGATAGTAGTGCAACATATCCAAGCTCACCCATCCTGGAGTCACCGCAGATTGCCCAAATAACTGCAAACTTGAATGGCTGATGGCGAGCTGTGGATAAAAATTTCCCGGGTAGATTGCCGCTGCAGAGTATCCTTCACTTGGGTTTAAAGCTCCAGTATAAACTTGAGGGTTTTCTCCTGTTGTGTAACCTAATACGGCCTGAGGCGGTGCGTACCCTGGATGTGAACTTGCGACATAAGGCATTTGGCTGTGTGACTCGTATCCGGTTGAAGGCACCAAAAAGTCAGTGGGGTTGTCTCCAGAAATTGTAGGGAAACTGCCCTGATGGCTGCTGTTCACCTCGGTGTGGGGCTGTTCTGTATAATGTCCCATAAACCTTTGCGTCAGCCTCTCGGTTACAATGGTACTGATGGGCAACTGGTCAACTCCAGAGCTGTCAGCCTCTGAGTCAGCATGTGGCTGTGGGATCTGTCCTGGGTTATGGCTGGTGTCTGTATAGCAAACAGGGCTGAAATGTTCAAAGACTCTTTGATCAGCAATAGTTGGTGGATGCTGTGGGTCTTTGGGCTCAACAGTGGCGGTAGTAGCCCTTGCACCAGATGCAGCTTCAACCTTAAAAGGATTTCCAGTCATCAAATGGTCCAGGGAAGATGAAGTGTCTTCTGAGCTTCCACTCAGACTGAAGTGTTGGTTCTCACTGCCTGCATTAGCAGGGTTTCCTGTCAGAGGCATGCTTTTAAATGAGCCAGAGGAAGTTGGAGTTTTTGTCACTGTATGCAAATTCAACCTATTTTCCACACTTTCAGATGAACCGGCAGCACAGGAGTCCAAAGTCTCAACAGTATCAGGAGCTTTCATTCTACATTCTCTCAGCACAGCAATCAGGTGTCTAAACAATCTCCAGTCTACATCATTTATGTATGGCAAAGTATCAGCTGGCCTTTCCCTGGATGGGAGACACTGATCTCTGGGAGGCACTGACAACGTTTGGCTGATAGTAGGATTAGCAGCTGAAGAGCATGCTGGTTCTGAGTGCGCCTCTTCCTGTTTCACATGCAAGCAGAGGGCAGGCTGCTGATAGTCAGAGACTGGTGGCGTGAGCTTTGGTTGCACAGGAGGCTTATAGCAGGTCTCTTCAGGGCTGAGACATGAGCCAGGATGGGGCAACAGTGAGGCAACAGGATCATCCTTCGAGCTGGAGCCGCTCACATTGAGAGGACTCTGGAGTCCTCTTTCTTGGAACCCATCCAAGTCACCAACCGTTTGAGTTGCCTCTAACTGAGGCTCCTGTGTGAGTTGAGCTGAAGAGGACAGAATAGCACAAGAAACACAATTAGAGCCTGTAGAAATTTAAAAAAAATTTTTTTTTTCTTTCCACACTCTTTGAATAATCTCCATCTCCAAACCCATGGAGAAGTTTCTTAATTTCAAAAACGTATATTACACATTAGTATAATGTAGATGCCACGCTGAATTTGGCTGATTTCATCATACACTCGCAAACACACGGTTAAACTGTCACTGTTCATGCACTTCACAGCACAGGTGAGGTTGGTAAACCAATCAGATTACAGCACTAATATACTAATACTAAATATATACATATATGTCTGCCAGTGGCGTATAACGCAAAATGGAAACATGCAGAGCCGGGTTAGCAAGCTTCACCTCACTTTTATTTTGAGCCTCCTCTCCCCTCCTGTCCAAAGCAATCTAACAGTGTGAAGCTTAATGCAAGAGAAAGCCAAATGCAGAGTTAGCTCACCTGACTCAAAGCACAAAAACAACATTGCAGGCTTTGTTGTCAATAGTTGCTTGTATTGCTCTAACTCAAATTAAAACTAGTTACTCAATAGAGGATAAGTTGTTGTCCCATCAACCACTTTAAATAGCACAAAAATCTAATTTATATTGGCACGTTCAAATTTAAAACTCAGAACAGAAATATACAAGAAATTCATACATGGTTCTGCGTTGAGCTCAAGTCAAATTTTATGTAGTTGGGAACAATATTATTATTTACAACTACCATTGAATTTGTAAGCTTGTTCACATAGAGAAATAAATATTAGCTAATATTGAGGGCAGTTTCATTTTATGGAGAGACAGCATATCAACCAAAAATCAATAAAAACACCTTAAATAAAAGTTACATATTGATGTGTGTGCTATTGAGTGAAACAGGCATTTGATCACCACACAAACAAATGACTTAGTAGTAGAAACCCTTGTTGAATAACAGTGGTAAGACGTTTCTTGTAGTTGGCCCCCAGGTCAGAAATCTCCAGAGTGATTTTGGACCACCACTCTTTACAGAAACTAAAACAATAAAGTTGAAATAAAGCTTTTGAGTTGCCAAGCAGGAGCCAAGAAACAAAGCTTCACTTCACCTCCCTTTTATTTTATTATTAGTTTTTTTTTTGTTTTTAAAAATAGGATTGAGGTCTGAGGTCTAGGCAGTACACGGCCCTGACTATTGGCCCCTCAACGCAGTGAGATCATCCTGTACCCAGGAACTGGCCCAAAACAATCTTTTCTACCTCCAGTTTGACAATGAGGATGGTGTTCATACATTTCTCTTCCTCCAAACACAGCAGGTCGAGTTACCAAAGAGTGCAATTTTGATTTCCATCTGTCCACAGCACTTTCTTCCAAGTCTTCTCTGATGTTCACTGCCAAACTTAAGATGGGCCTGCACATGCATCTTCCTGAGCAAGGAGATCTTTGTCAGTCTATCACAGAATAGCGTGCTACACTGTGATGTTCTTGGCAACAACCTCCTAGCGTTTACTTTTTGGCCGATCCACCACCTCCCTCATGATCATCCTCACCCCACAAGGCAAGATCTTGAATGGCGCTCCAGACTGAGGGTGACTGAAGGTCATTTTATATTTCTTCAAATACTTCTTTCACTCAATGACGTGCAAATCAACTGCAACTTTTATGTCATAATTTTTTGGAAAGTTTGGTTGACATTCAGTCTCTCACCATCAATAAAAAACTTACGTACATAAAAATTAGAGAAGTAAAAAACTCAGCTGGGCATCAAATAATTAATTCCCCCTGAGCCTATGGAAGAAGTTCAGTTTTGGAAAAGCGACCCCTCTCACCATTGTCACTTCTCTGGTATCGCTCAGCTCTATGAGCTGATTGCATTTCTGTGGAAAGAGACTCATTTGGAACTGGCTGCTCATCAGACCGCTGACCTGTGCAACAGAAAGCAGAGGTCACACTTCATACTCCTCCTCCAGTTAACATAAAGAAGATGAAACATTGATTTAGCCGTTTGGACTCACTGTTGTGCTGTGGTACCAAGACCCTGCGTTCATCGTTGTCCTGCGCCAGGCCCAGTTTACTTGATTTGTCCGTATGCATATTTTGCAAAATTTTTATAGCTGAAGAACAAACACAGTTACTGTGTATTCACTTCACCTAAACTGTGTGGACAGTTATAACTTGATCTTATTGTTACCTTCACTGAATGGAGCGGTCTGAACACGTTCATGCAACTCCTTTCTCAGCGTCGTAACCTGTGTACAAAAAGGGGGAAAATATTATTACTATTGTCACTGATGTCAAAGCAGATGAATAGAGCCAATCTTTATAGTATATGGTCTTAACAGTCTACCTTTGGACTTTCATCTTGCTCCCGCTCTGAGAGCTTCCAGGAAACTTTCTTTAAGAGTTCCAGTTTCTTGTCTAAAGGCAGGTCTTCATCCCAGAACTTGTGGAGAAACTGAGGGTATACTTTCCGCTGAAAGACATATTTTAAAATTGTAGGAACATATACTGATCACTTATTATTCAAACATTTGAAAAACCATTATTAGGACAATACACACCATGTATTCGAGCTGGTGCTCAGAGCTGACCATGTGCTGACAGATGTCGCGGTGAGAGAGCGCCTTCTCGCAGCACGTGCATAAGAAAAGGGTTTCCAAAGAAATCCCGCGGCACTCCAACACATAACCCTTACCTGATGGAGAAACACCAGGGGGCACAAAGCGTGAGATAAAGTAATGAGAGTGGAAAGGAGTTTCAGTGTAGGATGGAGACACCTACCAACAATTGGTTCAGCATCCAGTCCCTTTGTATTCAAGAAGATGGACAAATTGCTGTCAGAACTAGAGCGCTGATTTCTTCCCTCTGTGGTAGCACAGACACAATAAAGAGTTTTCACTTTCAATCATAAAATGAAACAACACCATCAACACCACCGTCACCAACCTGTTGGAGTTCTTAAGAATGCCTGTGATGCACTGTGCTCTTCTGATACTGGATTACCTCTAGACACGTGGTCCATCTTCTGCCTTGGTCTCAGCTGGTTCTGCCCTTCTGGATGAGCTGAAGCAGCTACAGAGAGTGGCTCTGAGCAGCTGAATTTGACAGTCAAAGGTTTTTGTGCGCATGCTGGCAATGTCCAGTTGTCCTGAAATTCTTCACTCTTCGGCTGCTTTGGTCTGTGGTCTCTAGCGCCGCCACGAAGCTCTGCCAAAACAAAGTTTCTACATTATGACTTCTGCTAAAATGAGTTAAAGCAAGAAGAGAACCTATAAAATGTTACAGAAGCAGAATATGTAAAAATGCTCTATATTTACCAGGACACTGCATTTCAGACATGACTTCAGTGCAAGTCTGAATCTCTACATCTTCCTCTAAATCCTCAATTTCTAAATTATGTAGAAGAGATCTGTTACTTCAACTTTAAACATTTATTTTATGTGTGATTCTATAAAAAAAACACAAAAACAAAGCCAGTGACAAGCATGGATGCATTACCTGCCGTTTCCTCGTCTTCAAGCTCGTCCAGAATCATGTCATCAGATTGTATGTCTTCACCTTCCGAGCTCTGTCCGATTGGCTTCGATGCAGCCAGGTCTGCCTCCACTTTTGAGTTCGAGCTCATTTCTGAGTTAACAGAAACAAATAGAAAAATCATATTCAAAACCTTTCTTAAAGATATATTCATTTGCATTTGGGGTCTCACCTTCTTTCTGGATCAACAGTGCCTGGTGCTGGTTTTTGTTCTCCACCGCTGGACATTCGTAAGTAGAAAGTTCTGACATTTTATTTATCCCTAAGAGACAATAAATGCATTTTTGAAATCAGCTGCTGGTATCCATAAACTAGGACCTGTTTGGAGCTTTTAATGTCTTATTTACCATCATCTGAGCTTGAAACGTCGCATGGACTGGCAGAGGCAGAATCAGCTGGGGAGGTTGATGAGAGCCGCAAGCTTCTCTGATTCATTGACTTCACATATTTGACAGCTGAGAATCAAAAGATGGACAGGAAAAGAGTTCAAATCTGTGACTTCTTTGTCTATAAACTACACATACAGTACACTCATCAGATACATGGCTAATTAGTTACTGTACATCTTTCTGAGGCGGCTAAGATCTTTTAATGTCTGTTGTACAATGTGTCTTTTGTGGCCATCCTCTATGCGTTTACATGCTAGGACAGCAGGTTGACAGTTGCAGATGCCGACAGATTCAATAAACTGATCAGCAAAGGCAGTAACGTTTTGGGGAGTGAGCTGGACTCAAAGTGATGTCGGGGACCGGTTGTTGTCCAAGATAAGGACAATGCTTGACACCACCTTCCACTCACTCTATAACATGCTGGCCAGTCAAAAGAACACATCTGGTGAGAGACTGATTACCCAACTGCACCACTGCATGACACAGCAAATTACTCCTGCCTGTGGCCATCTCTCTGTACAACTCTATGTAAAGTGAAAGTACACACTACAATATCTATTTAGTAACTTTGTAATATAATGTATCATTTACCATTGTTATTGTGTTGAAGCAACTGGACACAGTTTCCTCAGGGATTAATAAAGTAGTTTGATTCTGATTGTGCCCTGTGGATTTTTCATTTGGCAAACTCAACTCAATTCAGATTCTCTGAATGTTTGCTTAGTCATTCTGACCAAGCAGTAAAGTCTCCCCCTCCCCCCCACGACAAAGTCTGGGCTGTGTGCCACGTTTACAGTCTCAAGCATTAAGAGACTGGATTCTCCATTTTAGGAAAAAATGAATCAATCTTTCTTTACCTTCATCTTCTGGAAGATGAGCCAGCTTTTCATACACGTCCTTCTTCACTTTCAGAATCTAGCAGGATAAATATAAACAACTGTAATTGAAAGCTTTACCTTATGAGCTGTCACTTTAATGTTGTACTCTCATGTGTATTCGTTTTGCCACACATAATGTTAAAAATGCAAAAAATCTGTTAATTGTGATTTAAATTGTCTGTTGGTAGACCTGTGGTTTGCGAGGTCCGAGACTCCTCTCAGCCTCGGTCAAGGGGATCGCTATCTCATTCAGTTTTCTCTCCATCTCTGATGGCTTTGCGGTCCAATCAGGATACTTCGTTTTCTAATCAAGGAAAAAAAGGAAAAACAAACAAGATCCAATTAACATCTATATTACTGAACTGCTTCACAAGCTACACTGCATAGACGCTTAAAAACACGCACCACATATTTTTTCCAGTGGTCTAAGCTGATCAGGTGATAGTCACTGGAACTGGTTAGCTTCACTGAACACAGCTTACAGTAGACTTGCTGCTTCTCCTCACACGATACCACAATCAGCTCATTTAAGCCTAAAAAGTAACAAAAACACAGGCTTCTGGTTAAAAATGAAATAGTGGAAAGAAATTCACTTTTTACAAACAGAAATATTAACTTTAATACTTGCCTACTTTAGGAAGGCCTTCACTTGGCTTTGTCTTATTACTCATGGAGGTTTGGGGTGGCTCTGTGGGTGGCTTCTTGTGTTCAGGCCTGACAGACGTGCCCGTGGCCTGATGAGGAGCGCCGGGTTTGTTACTTTTATGACAATGTGATGCATTTGGCCCCACCGAATTCTTCACATGTACGGTCTTTGCAGAAGTCTCCACACTCTCAGGTCTAACTGAGGTTCTGGGCTTTTTAGCCACAGGTGCCATTTGAGGGGTGGCTTTTGTTTTTAACTGATGAGATGGAAACTTTTCACTTCTGGAGGAAGGTGCAGTTTTGCAAGTAGCCTCTCGCACCACTGTGGATTCAGTCTGAGGAGGTATTCTGTTTGAAGAAGTAGCCGTCACTCTCGATGGAGCTCCGGTTCTGCACACTGCTGCAGATTCTGCAGTTGACTTTGCATTTGAGGCAGATACCTTAGAGGTGCAGGCAGTTCCTATCTGTTGGGAAGAAGTTGCAGTATTTTTAGCCGCGACTGCAGTGCACATGGATGTAACCGGTCTCACTTCTTCCATGTCAGGCTTGGGTCCAGTTTTAATTGCTTTCACACTTGTGTTTGGAGTAATACTGGCTTTGGAGGCGGTTTTTGTGCCACTTGCATTTGACACACACAGACTTACGTTTTCTCCACTTCTGGGAGTAACTGGACAAGTGACAGATTTGTTAGCTGGCTTGGGGGCTTTGTTACTCTTTGTGCCCTCTTCAGTTGATTGAGGGAGGACTTGAGTTATTCCAGTGCCTTTAAATAACGCAGACTCCTCTTGGTCGGCATCAATTACCATGTTCACCACCTTCACAATGAAACAATGGCATTTAGTAGCAGTAGTTAAGTTTTTTTAAGCAGACAGAAGCATGCAGTGTTCAGGTTGTGGATTTCGACCACGCACATCAATGCAGTAAGGTTTGGTACCAATGTTATCTGTTTGAATCTGTGCAAGTATCTCTGTTTAAAGAGTCAGACTCTGATCCTATGAGTACCAGCTAGCAGGCAAACAGGGTTTGGATGGAGCCGGGAAGGAGAGCTCGGTCAGCTCTAACATGAATACATTTTCCTTCATGTCTTTAGTTTGTGCCTTTACTTCAGAATTTTCCATTATTGGAAATCTCACATGAATATCACGCATAAACTCTATTCATAACACACTTCACTTACCTTCATGCTGCCCTTTGTATTGTCATGTTGATCGACTGAAGTGTCCACAGGTTTTACGCAGGTAGGAGCTGAGGATGAAGGGAATGTAGACCCAATATCCTGCTGAGTTTGAAATGCCTTGACTGTCTCTATGGCTGTAATGACAGTGGGATAAAATGAGGAAATTCTGCACTTTGGTAGTTCTGTCTCTCCAAATTAGCTTCACTAAGGTGAAGTAACAACAAAACAACCCAAACACAGAAAGCAAGGTGCATCCTTACCCGACTGAAAGCTTTGTTTTGAGACCTTACTGTAAACTTCTTCATTTACATTAACATCCTGCAGTCAAGACACAAATAAAATTAGTACCCCAAATGAAGATTTAAATTTTTGGTATTAGTGTGAAAATATAATATAGTTAAGGTTCAGACCAAACTTGAGCTTGTATATTTTTTTATGCTAATCTCAAGTAGCTTTTATTTTGGTTCCCCTTTCTCCAGTTCAAGTGAACACAATATTTTTAGCCTTACAAACATATTCTTCCTTCCTCTTGAAGAGCTAAGCCACAATTAAAGTTAGAGAAACTTCAATTATTGCTCCCAACCATATGATCTCAGAAATTAGGCAGCATATCAGCTTCTTAGATCCTTCTGTTAAATCGAGCCTTAGAAACTTCGATGTCAAATATGACACCGAGTGCAATGCTCAAATATAACATATGAGCATTGCACTGAGATAAAAAAAAGAAGCCCAACTTAAAACTGAACATGTACTCACCACCAGTGGCACCTTGTGATGGTCAAATCCAGTCAGATGGCTGACGATGTCCTTCTCTGAGACCTTCAAAGAGCAGGACTCGCAGAGGTAGACCGGCTCATGCTGAGGACAGCAGCATTTAAGCAGAGCGATAAAACCTGTGGGACACATTTGTTTACCACTAACACTGTGGAATTAAAAGAAAATATCTCATTGCCAACTTGGCTTGCATTAGTGCCACCTTATTAAAACTTTTATCAAGTGCGTAGTTGTAGTTATTTTATACACTTTGCAAATGCGCTCAAAGAGTTGGCGCTCAGTCCTTTTGAAGGTCATAAGCTCTGTCTGGCGTGAATGTCCAGGTGATCTATTGTGTAAGGTGACCAGAGCGCAAGAAGGCCAAGGCAAGCACGCTTACAGACACAACTAACTGTAGATGAAGTTCTAGGTCAGAGGTGAGAGATACACTTTGCTTGTAACTGCATAACAACAGTTGATGCAAGAGGTGTTAAAATAAGCATGAAATGAACAAGTCAACAGGAACCATCTGGAGGGGGAGACTTTTGAAACAAACAGCCATGTATGGTAAAAATGTTGCTGATACTGGGAACTTGTCTAACTGTCATTAACTGTTAATCATTCATTAACTGTAACTGATGCATGTTATATTCTTTGCTGACGCAAGAAGGGGCCGAACCCTGACACATTAAAACCATTTTGAAGAAGTGTGCTTTTTAGCAAAGATCTATGCTGATGTTACAGTATACATCTTCCCACACGTGTGCTTAATAAAATCATCGTTTGATTGAACTCAGTGTTGGTTTGTTCTTATTCCCAATATCAAAGAATCGGGACAATACCATCCATGTTTTCCCCTTCTTAGAATATTTTAGATAAAAATATTTGGCTCTCCTTATAATCAAAAAACAAGTAAAGCCATAATTATTAAAATAAATAAAAATCTATTACACATTATTGAGAGCTAAGAGGATGTCAAGAGATTTTCTACATTATACAATATAACCAAATCTCTATAATACAATATAATCAAGTGTGCCTTATATTTTGTGTGTTCATATATTTTCACATAACCAAGCTTATTGTTAAAGAGAACATAATGCATTCCTTACTTCAGTGTGTGATGTCAGATAAGCATGATATACTTCTGCATTGTTATTTTCAGTGTATGTGTGCAAGGTCAGATAAGCTGAGATAATGCCTGACCTCTCCCCTTTCTGTTAAAAGAGGAAGTACTATGTAAACTTACTTTCACTATAAATAAAGCAACAGAGCCTGCACTCGGTGTGTGTGTCTTCTCAGAGGCATTCACCTGTGCGCACGTTTCTAATACTCTGAGTCGGTCTGCAGTGTCTTATTTCTCTTACTTGTGTTTGAACAAATGTCTACCCCTGACAGAGGAGAAAGCCAACTCTCTTGACATATCAAAACAAAAACAGTAAGATAGTCAGTAAAACCTTCCAAACCTTTGTCAATTGCCGCTTTGCAGGCTTCATCTTCATTGTTCTCCTTCTTTATGCTAATATCAGACATTTTTGGGGCTTTGTCACACGAGTCTTCTCTGGAGGTCGGACGCTGTCTTTTAGGGCCCATTTCTCTCCCCACACACTCAGTAGGACACGAGTCCTCTTGCGATGTTTCAGACACACTGTGCTGTCTTTTTCTTTCCATTTCTTTGTAATTCTTCAGCTGTGCTGGGACATCTTTGCTACTTCTGCCATCTTCTATCCCAGAGTCTGCACCATTATCTTTGTTGGCATTGTGGCAGCTTTGCTTCGCCCCAGCTGATCCTTTTATTTTAGCCTCTTCTGGCTCCTGCTTTATCGCCCGACACACCTCACCTGGACTGTTCATTACTTCTGAAGCCGCTTCACTTTTCAACCCCGAGTCATTTTCACTTTGTGTCGGTGTGTCACGCTCTTTTTTGATTTCTTCTACACAGACTGTGTTGGTGCTGCCATTTTTCTGACAGACACCTCTCACACGTTGCTCGTCTTTTACAGTTATCCTCGGAACTGAGCCAAACGGGACAAAAAAAAAAAAAAAAAAAAAAAAAAAGGATATACAAGTCAGTCTGAGTACAGTTGTCATATTAGGCATCCATTCTGTAAACAAAAAACAGCAAGTCAGCTTTCCAAATAAAGACAATGCAATGCCACCCTGGGAGTCACACATGCACATTTTCTGCTACAATACTGAACATCTATATGATTCTTAAAACATTTTAGTGTACTTACCCAGTTTTCTATGAAGTTTTATTTGGGGTTTAAGCTTTTTGCTCTCAGTTTTCCACTTTACACGTTCCAAGATTTTGGTTGCTGGAAAAGAACACATGAAAAGTGTCTAACCCAATGTATCCGCAGATGCCACTGGGAAAAATAAAAATAAAAAAAATAAAAAAAACATTAACTGCAACATAAATACTCACCTATAAAGTAGGAGTATGGCTCCGTAATGGGACGCTGCAAATATATTACCTTTGAGAGAAGACAGATTCAAAAGCATAAGTGTGGAAAGAGCAAAAGTTTAAATTAAATCAACCATCTTTATCAACCTAGTAGAGAATACCTGTATGTGAGATTTATTGTGAATTGTTGCTGCCTGTTTTGCCAAGTCCAGTAATGTCTCTGCATCAGCGCTGGAATCCAGTGAGCCTGGGTGGAAACGGTCCTACGCACAGAGATGAACACAAGCTTTATTGACATGTCTTCAGTTCATTTCTCTGGGATTCATTTCCCTACATTATTTGCATTTACTGGACACTTCAGACCGTAGGAATTAAACCTGATACAACATTTCCAACTTTCATGACTCAATAAGCTTCCTTTTTCCTGCAGTTGCTCATATGACTCCAAGCTGCAAGCTTTTACATAGTCTTCAGCTAACATTTGCTAATAAAAGTTTCTAAACTTTGTTACAAAGACTGATTCTTTAAGTGAAAGACTCAGCATTAGTCCTTTTTAGTTTTACTAAACAGTTACAGAAGAAGGAGGAAGAAAAAAAAAAAAGCCCATTATAAACCATTTTATTTAAACATTTTGAAATAGTCTCAGATTTGATTTGAGAACAGAAATGCAGGAGGAAGAATGCACTGCTTCTGGTACCTCCTGTCATCATTTTCTTCTAATTTACTGCAAATCATGAAAGTAAAAATAATTCATACTGGAAAAGTGAGAGTGCACTATAAAAAAATGTATTTATCTCACAACACATAGGTGTAAGACGAATAGTGTGTAAGTGTATGTACCAATATCGTACCAAGAATTCTCCACATACAGCTCTAACTGAAGTGAGAGATTGAGACCACATGCACCCTCAAGTTTCTCTGATAGCAGGCAGATGGGATAATTGGCTTGGGATACACAGTGCCAAGGGGCCTCGTAGGAGATAGAGCTGGAACCATATAGGGAGAGCTGGAAAGTACTAGAATTTCTGAATTCCTGGCAGGGTAATGCAGGGCAGACACTGTGCGATTTTTTCAGTCGTACGATTCAGCTCCTGCTCAAACTGTACGGTTGACTCGCAGGGGTTAGAAGTTCGTAGGTCACGATGCAGGGTCTCACACTATACGGCCTGATGCTCTGATGCGACCTGAGTGCTCAAACTGTGCGTCCATAAAATGAAGGTTATAACAGAAATTCTGTCGCTTGCTCTCCCTCTGTCTTTCACTCACACACCACCACTATCAACTTTGCTAAATTGCTAATTTAAAACATTGATCAGGCAGCTGTGATTGAGCAGCAGTGTAAATCCAACTATTTTCACGGTTGTTGTGATGGTGATAATTTTTTGAGGCCACATCGAAACGGCTCGGATGAGCTTTCCAAAGTTCTAAAAGTGCCTCCATCGCTTGTGTCCAGATCACACGCTGCACTGCCGTGCTACTCTGTCTTTTTCACCGACTTTTATGTGTTTGCGCGTGAGCAGTGTGAGAAGCTGCGGTGACACCCTCACTACGTGACCTACGAACTTCTAACCCCTGCGAGTCAATCGTACAGTTTGAGCAGGAGCTCACGACGGTTGATGATCGCGAGCTGGTCGTGAGGTGTTAATCGCTTCTCGTTACCCCACGTATACTACAGGATACACGATGAAGGCCAAAATCGGGCCGATCACCAAAACGGTCGCACGACTGAAAAATTGGCTCAAAATGGGCCAGACAGTGTCTGCCCAGCATTAGGGAGTCACTGATTCAGCGACCTTGGTAGAGCTTCAATAATTTGGAGGTGCTTTTTGTCTAGCCTTTTCAGTTTAGTGAACTTGTATTGAAAAAAGAAAAAAAAAAAAATCCCCTTTGCCATCCTGTGGGATTTTTTGCACCCTTTAAAATTAATTAGGGATAATTTTGACAAGTGTAGTTTAAACAAATTATCAGTTCTCTACCTCAAAGTTTGGGGTTTCCAAATCTCAAACTCTGCTGAGATTGACCATCAAAACATTTTTGGGATGACTTTAAAATAGTCCACATTTTAAAGCCATTTAAAACAAAAGCCCAAAAAAAGTGGGGCGGGTAGCGACCACCACCTGTTCTGAAGATTGACTTAGTAATGACATTTTATCAGCGGAAACAATGTTTACAAGTTAAAAAATAAATTAATGCAGAATTAATTTTTTTAGAAAATATTAAAATTCCTTTTACCCTAATTTTATTGAATTTACTGAAACCAGTAACTCGATACAGAGCTGTCCCATTGTCTTTTTAAAATCCTACAGCAGTATCAAGAATCATTAGCTAGCATTAATTTAGTTTGCTAATAGCTTTTGCTATCACTGTCACAACCAACATTTGCACAGCTAATTTTAGCTATGGGAACAAAAGAGCTGACATTTAGACCATCTCGTTTTACCTAGAAGCTTCATAATTACATAATCACGTTCTTTCCATCTGTTTAATTAATAACTACTGACTAGCTTAACAGGATAACGTTACTGTGGCTAATATGCCTGGTAGCTAACAAATTAAACTAAAGATTATTGTACACTCACCTGGGGGAAAAAAAAAA